TACTAATTAATTACTTCTGCGGAATGTAACACGAACTCATATAATTAAATTAAATCATTCGGAAATTATTACAAATAAAAATATAATAAGATAAAATTAAAAATAAATAATAAATAAAATAAATAACTAAAAATAAACAATGAATAACTAAAAATAATAAATAAATAAATAAATGATATAAATAATATAAAAATAAGATATAGAATATTACTCCGGATTTTCAGGGTTATTGATCAGCGAATTAAGGTCCAATTCGCATTCCGGTGACAATAGTCAACAAATCAAAAAACCAAAATTATCAAAAAATCAAAGCTTTGTATGGAAATATTTAAAAAAACCGAGAATGAAAAAGCACAATGTATAATTCCTATAATAAAAAATGGAAAAGAAGAACCATGCAATGCATCTTATAAATTCACAGGTTCTACTTCAAACATGAAATACCATTTGAATGTAATGCATAATAAAACTGAAGACAAAGAAAAAAAAGTAAATATAATTTTTGATAAAAGAATATTATTCATAAGTAATATATTTAATTTTAAAATTAAACTTATATTATCGGAACAAAAAATACAACAACCAACAATCAGTTCAATGTTTAGTAGAGTAATACCTCATGGAAAATCACAGCAGCATAAGTTGAATGTGGCCTTACTTGAATTTATTATTACTGATTCTTTTTGTAAAAAGAAATTCAAAATATATGAATATATGACAATGAGGTAAAATTTTTTTGATATATTATTTTTTTAAATTACATTTTTTTGTAAAATGTATACAGAAAATTTTAATATAAATTATAACTTGTTATTGTAATTTTTTATAAATTATTATTATTATTATAATTGTATTTGAATTTTTTTGACAAGTAAAATAAAAAAAATAAAAATTCTTTTTATATAATTAACCAGTTAATTAACCGGTTAAGGTTTTTTGGCTGGTTCCAACCTCTACTATACATACATACATATATATAATATAAAAATGAAATATTATTAGTACAACCTTGTCTTATAAAATTCTAATTTTTTTTATATATCAATAGCTATTAAGGTTAACTTGAAGACTGTTTTCCTTGATTTAACAAAAACATATAGTAGAGGACAAGAATTCGTAACATATGTTGAACTTCACATTACCTTATTAGTAGGGATGGGGACGGTTTATGTCACTTCCGGCGACGAATAATATTTTTATAATTGATCTGTGACGATTAATTACTAAATTATAAGTGACAATTAACTTGTCTTGTTTTGGCAATATAAATGTCACTTATAATTTAGTAATTAATCGTCACAGATCAATTATAAAAATATTATTCGTCGTCGGACGTGACATAAACCGTCCCCATCCCTACTTTTTAGTAAAACTTTATTAACAGAAGTTATTAAAAGCACATTTTTCAATAGTTTTAATCCCAGAGAGTATATATACAAAGTTTCGTTTAAGTTTCGCAATTTTACAAGAAGTCTTATTTGTTCAAACCTTAAAATTGTAGTTGTGTGATTTTTTTGCCATATGATGTACTGTGCAACCGAACTCTACCCTTAAATTTTGCCTCCCTTCTTGTATTACTTTGATGTACATATCAATTAATATTTATTATTTAACAAACATACTTTATTATATTAGAATAATCCTATTTTTATTGATAACCAAAAATTCCATTTTTATTAACAATAAATCATTGGTGGTTTCAAGTATAATTCTATTTTTATTAATAACCAAAAATAAACAAATATACTTTTATTTATTATATGGTGTGTGTCACCTAAAGTCATCAAGAATTTATGGGTGACTTTAAAATGTATCTAGTCCCTCAATTTTTATGCT